ATTAGTATTGTTGGATGCCTTTTAACAAACAAAGTCTTTATTGAATATGTCAAACAATTACAAAGAGACTACAAATCAAATACTTATATCTCACAAATTATTCATCAGTCACAAATCACAAATATTATAAGTCACAACTTATCGGATAGTCACAAATTTTCAATCAAAAATTTTGTATGTCCCAAATTATCTTACGGCACAATTTATTTATCGGTTACAAATAGAGCGTTAATTCATCTGTTGTAACCTAACAATAGAAAAGGCTAAACTCCCCTTAGTAAATAATTCAAATAACAATTTATCGAACGCCCCCATCAAACTCACTATGTATCTATCGAGAGTTTGCCAAAAGGATAGGTGTAGAGGGTTTACTCGGGTAATATGTTCTTCATTTTACCATTTAATCTTTCATGTGCCAGTGTATACACTCAACTCACTCATGCACACGTTTCCATGTGTGTGATTGAAAAGTAATGCAGCGCAACTGTGAACATTTGAAGAACATGAATCAATACTTGTTGATTCACGTAAAATATGGGGAATTGCCTATCAAGACTCGTTGATTCGTACATGAACACTGAGAATTTATTGATTTTCATTGACTGACAAAGAATACAAGCAATACAATTGCGGCCGGTAATTAAAGACCTAAGTCTATGGTTAACTGAAATTGCATCCTAAACTCATTAAAATTGATACATATCTAATAATTAATGATTATAAAAATTGTTAAAACATTAAATAGACTCAGTCGAACTCTTCTTCATCATTCTCCTCGAGCCTGGAGAAGATTCGCCCTCGAATCTTAAGTTGTAACTTCATCCAATGCTTGATTGCGGGAGTAATGTATCTAGTAAGTCAGTTGAACATATATTACCAAATTCTTAACAATGAAGCTTTTGATTGGGTAACATAGAGATATTTTAAGCTTCTTTATATGGAAATTATTTATTAATGAGAATGAATTTTATTTTTTTACGAGGACTAGTTGTTATGGTTTTTTATTAAGAATGACAAACTTCAGAAAACATAGGTCCTTTAGGTCCTTAATTGATTGATAAGAAAATTATACTTAAATAAGTTAAGTACTTCTATTAAAAGTACTACAAAATCTGGGAGGACAGAAATAAAAGTAAGTTGAAAGTTCAGATATTAAGTCAATAACTTTATCAAACATTACATATTAAATTGGCGCAAAATCGACTAGAGTATATTTCTACCGGTCTTTACCTATTTTCCCATATTATATAACTCTTACCTCAGACCTTGGTAGATTGGAGATAAACTTCATCTTCCATTGAAGGAAATTGGTTTGGTCACGTTCATTCAACCATTAAAAATTCATTAACCATTTAACTCGGGATGGGCTCCTACACTTTTTTGTGTAGCGGAACTGCTTGTTCTTAAGTCGCCGACAGCTACGTGTAAGATAAGTGCAACAAGTTCTGTTGTACGAAACTTCATTTATCCTCGGATTCCTTCTCTCAAAACATCGAAATCTCACTTACTCGTCGTGTTTCAATGATAATGGAAGCCTAGTTCAGTGGCAAATTTATTCCTAAACAGGAGTGAGATTGTTGGGATTGAGCTTTGACTAATCCTCTAGATTGGCCAAGAGGGGGAAGCATCCATATTTTAATAAAGCCCTAGCTCTTAGTCCCTTATTGTTGGAATAACCCCAGTTGTCAGAAAAACCGTTGTTAGGTGCCTAGCCTGGAATTCTCACAAAGTTGCTAGGCCTACCCTTGTTCAAGTAGTAGACAAATCCCCATATTACTATGAAAAATGAATTCTAGAGAGCTCATTGTGCACTTTACCTGCAACAATGTACTCTATTTCCGAGCATACTTATACTATCGACCTTGTCTTCATCCGTGTTCTAAGATGCCTCCATTCACAAAGAAAGGAGAATGATAACTCTTCATTGATCAGTGGTCCTAATTCCTTCAAGATAATCAATTTTCCATTCTTTTAGATGACTACCTTAACTCCTACCCGTGGCGATATCTCTTTAATCCCCGAAAGGGCTACCATTCAAGGAGAGATGGATTACTACCTTCCTTTCTTTCTTAAATCTAATGTGTGCCCATATAGTATATTTCGCTACAATAAGATAATAATTTATAATAAATAATTGTAGTTTTATTTATTTATTGCATTTATTTATTATTGAGCATACGAATTAAAGTGTCTATGATCACTTTGTTAGCCCAAAAATAACTAACCAAAAGGGGGGTGAATTGGTTTTTGAAACTTTTTCGACACTTCGTCTCAAAATTATTCAATACACAATATATAAATGCAAAGTCTAATATAACAAGTAAATATGCAAATGCGATAACTTAATTCAAGTATGAATATAATACAATAATGACAATGTAAAGTAAAGTGCAACAATGTAAAGATAACAAATCGATTTAATGGAGTTCGATACACAATGTGTTCTACGTCCCCGTTACCAAACTCTCCGTCATGAGTAAGGCCAAATGCACTATAATGGTAACTTACAACAAGGAGTATCAATCCTTAAGTGACTTACAATAAGGAGTACTTATCCTTAGGTGACTTACAACAAGGGGCGCCTACCCTTAAGTGACTTACAACAAGGAGCACTTATCCTTACGATCGAGTTTTCACAAGGCTCTCGAAACCGTCAAGAAATAAGTGATAATTTTACAATTGAAACAACTCTCTTAACAAATGATATAATCAAGTCAAATATTTAGAGAGTTAAGATAACACATCAATGGATAGCAAATATTTAAGCTCAAGTGTTTTATGTTGTAAAACTTTAATGAATGATAATTGATGCAATAGTAAGGATCAATGTACCAAAGTTTTCAACCAATAAATCTCTCTTAACAAATAGTACAAAGTTAAGTATAGAGAGAGATTTACACTTAAATAAGTGTTAGTAAAGAAAAGTTTTAGTCAAGAATGAGAAAATAGATGAGATGGAAGTTTCTTTGCTTAAGTGGAATCTTTGAGGAAATAGATGAAGAACAAGTTTTCAAAACAATCAAAAGATTCTTGCAATAAATGAATTGGATAAAAATTTAAGTAAACTCAATGATCTTTGAATGAATAAGCTCTTTAAAATTCTCTAGTAAATTTGGTGAAATTGAATTGAAAATAGTTTGGTATTTATAGAGCAAAACAACCAACTTCAGGGATTTTCGGCTGACACCTTTCAGTCGACTGAAGTCCACTTATAGCCGTTGTAAAATATTCAGACCGTTAGAGTTTCGGCAAACCAATTCAAACTATCGATCGACCGAAATGAGTAGATTTTGGTTTTAAAAGATTTCAATCACAAATTCCATTTTCCAAAATCAATTTCATTTTGAAAATTGTTTTTATGCAAGTGATGAGATGTATAAAAATAAATTTGAGTTTTATACTTGCTAAAAATTGACAAGTTATACCTTTACTTATAATTTTGAAGATTCGATAAAAATATCTTCNTTTTGAAAATTCGATAAAATATCTTCTAAGCTTCTATTCTTCAAAGGTCTTGGTTTTTTCGGATCACTTCCGAGTGATTTTGCAATGGATGACGATTTGAGCTCTTTGATTGATTGAGACAATTTATACATAAAAAACTCAACAAACAAGATTTGTTAGAAATGTAAGAGTGTTTGTTATAATCAAAACAAGTGGAGTTATATTGAAGTATAGGTCAACACACTTGTGATGATATAAGTTGAAAACTTGCATTGAGAAGTACATTGTGATATAACTTATATTTTGATCATAAATAATTTGTTCACAACTAATGTATAAGGGTTCGCACATTGTATTGGAACGTTGTAGTGTTGACCGATTCACTATTCAGATTTGTGATTTGACCTTATCACATAAATAGTAAAAGGTGACACTAGTACATTTGAAGTGTATTGAACGGACCACTTGTCGAATTTAATTACGTA